GAAGCAGGAAGTAGTAAGGTTTAGTGAAGTTTGCACATGGCCAAGGAGACTGCCATGAATCCACATGCATCTGCCCTCAATCCTTCGTCTTTTGGAGCATCGTCTGTATGTATATTGTTTATTTGATACTTATCTGTAGTTCTGTGGTTGTATTTTGTGACATGAGGGAAATTTAATGTGTAACTTTGATACGTTGTTGAAGCCACATGTTTAGAGCACAGCTAATGCTTATTCTTGCAGCTAAAGTGCTACGCTACGTTGATTTAGATTATTGTAGACTTGTAGGTACAGTGTATATGTAAGATTTAAAGAATATGCTGTAATTGTAATTGTGTTATGTTTGTTTCAGTTTCACACTTTCTACATCATTAAACCTGTGGACAAAGAGTAATGGTCTTCAGAGTCTTGATGGAAGAAAAGTGTTGAACCTTGCTGCCAGTTCCTCTTCTGTGCAGTGTGAAGAGGGAAAGACAGTACAAGAAGCATCTGATGACAGCAGCTTATCACTATCAAAAAACAAGTAACAGAAAAGACTGATTATTATAACATCAACCAGTAGAGGGAGCTGTTTGCATACCAAAACATCATGGCACCCCCACACATGATTGAGTTGCAACTTCTAATAACTAAATTAAGAAAATCAGACAAAATGCGCTTTGTTTCTCTTATGTGTTGACTAGACAAGAAGTGCATGGTTAAATCTGCCATTTATAAGTATAATCATTTTTGGTGCACTTCTTATGCCAAAACTATTTATTAAAAGTAGGCAAACAAGTGAAATAAAGGGTGAATTAAGAGAATACAGTGTTTATAAGATGACATGTAATTATCCTGTGTAAATAAATAAACACACAACACAAACAAATATATAAGACTAATGAAACATGCATTTTGAACAGTTTTGTTTTCAGCACAGTTTTGTGTTCAGCCACACAGTTGCACCTGAAAGCAAATATAAATGCATATTCTCAGAGACATTTATTCAGATTAAGATAAAATCTAGTCAAATAAACATAAATATAAATAAATATAAATAAAATGAACTTTGAATATATTGAATAAAACTCAAATACATGGAATGAACCTTGAATATATTGATTCACTTTGTAGTAACGCCCTATATTTGTATTATAATTTGCCTCTAGATAAATTTTCGATAACTTTGAACATTTAAAATGTTTAATTAACCTCATAACTTGACATTATTACTGCTCTTATTAACTTTTAGTTATTTATTTTTACTCATTACTACTGTAATTTTTGTAATTTGGCATAGTTTAGTGCCTTAATCTGGATCACTATTCGTGTTGTTTTAGCACTGGGGGCTCATGTCGACAAAATTCATTTTCTTCGTAACTTCAACTGTATTTGACATCAAGTAATTATTTGGGGCTAATTAATTGAGTATAACCAAACTATAACTGACTTTGGCAAGAAAATGATGGAGACCAACAATAACAAACCATTAACTCTTGTATTAACACCAGTACAACCATGAAATTAGAAAGTCTTTCATTGTTGTGTCTAACATTTTTCACTTCCTGATATTTGTCTTTGGTGTGCTCAGGAATGGTACTGGTTATCTGGACGACTGGATTCAAGATAAGGAAAACAGTACCCACATTTTGGTACCTCAACCTGTGGCCAACTTCATCTACTTTGTAGCATTTATACCCCTTAATTTAATAAATCTTGCTTTAGACTTCCACTGGCCTTTTGGCAAACTCATGTGTAAGCACAACACCATGGTACTTATTCTGAACATGTTTGATAGTGTCTACATTCTGGTGGTGATTTAAAAAAATGTATGTAAGGGTTGTGACTTTGGGTGTTTGGGGGGTGGCTTTGATGATCGGCTTTCCATATTCCATCATCATGGACACAGAGCAAGCGTGTAAGAATGAAAGCAAAACTCTCTGCTTAAACAGCTACGCGGTTTCTGATGACTGTAATGCAGAATCTCCCAATATACTGCGACAATTTCATCATCCACCAATTATCATCGCCTGCTTCCTTGTGCTTTTTGCAGTCCCATCTACTGTCATTGTCTCCTCTTATGTTGTCACAATCAAAACAATCATCTCAAAAGAAACCACTGGCCACCTAGTTGAGTCGTTCCATTGCTGTTATCATCAGCTTTTTTTCTGTGCTGAGCTCCTATTCATATTATGGATCAAATTGTGAAAGCTAAAAAAAAATGGATACTTCAAATTGTATCATTGGCATCCCTTTGGCCACCAATATGGCCTTTCTCAACAGCTGCCTGAATCCACTGCTGCATGTGTTTATGGAATAAGATTTTAAGAAAGAAGTCTGCAAATCCATTATGAATGTATTCGAAACTGTCCTCCAGGAGGAGGAGAAACACTCTCACACTTACAATAAGTCCGTAAACACAAATACAACTCAGTTTTAAATGCTAATGTTCGAGGCTTGCAATGACTTAAAGAAACAAAGAAACAAAAGAAACATTACTCCAGAGGAAATCTTTCTAAACCTGATTGTTTGAATTGTATAAAAATATAACTGTTCTTATAATGTTAATTAGATGGCAGTAGCTAAAGTTGTTCATGTCTCTTTAACTCACAGTTGCAGTTTGTGCTATGTTTGTACGATTATGGAACTAAAAGTGGTTGTAAAATGCCACTTCCTGGAAAATAGAATGAGTCAGTAATTTCAAAATAAGTATTACATTTGTTTCTGGTCGACTTTGTGTAACACAACACTTGGACATGTGACTTGTCCCACAAATGCCATATTAGGTAAGAGAGGTGGGCATTTAAACTATTAACTATATAATAAAGATAACACATTCAGTCAATATATTTATTATGACCAGAATACCACTGAGTTCCTTGTAAGACCATCATGTGAATTTTCATATTTTTTCTTACTTATTTAGCATAACAGCAGTCTGGCATATTCCCTGTTAATATATGACATAAGAGTTATGGTTGTTGTGTTTTATCATGTTTAACATTTGCAGCTTTGTGTAATTATTTATTATTTATTTTTACATATTATTATATACTGTATAACTTAAATTCAATTGCACTCTTCTCACCTTAGTCTTTTCCACCATTGTTAATTGTGACATTTCCCTCTTTTGCCTAAAATGCCATTTAGTTTTAGTCTTAATTTAGGCATCTTAAAAAAGAGAGAGAGAAAATGTTTTGCATATTTGCTTGCATATGTTAGTATTTAGTTTTACTAAATATATATCTATTTTTAGTTTTGTTCAGTATCTGATCCCATCTTTTATGATCACAACAACATTTAAGACTTTGTTTCCTGTTTTAGATGTTTATCAGGCATTCAGTATCATAATCATTTATGTTTGTTTATATTTTCCTTTTTCATTAGAGATTACCGAAAACAAACTGCCTCGGCTCCATCACGATAAGGGTCTATGCCCTGCAACCTTTGCTTATGTTTCTGTTATCTTTTCTTTCTGTCTGGGAACTACAGATAAAAAAATTGGCTCATAGCTAAATCTGGTACATTTAAAGCAATGTTTATTAAAATGCATTGTCCCTGTTACAAATAAAGAATTAAGGTTATAAAGTCTATATAGTCTCCACTTCTACCACGTCTAGAATGTTTGATTTATAATCAGAAAAAATATTATAGAAGGGGTGTGACGTCAGACTGCAAAATCTGCTGGAAGCCTCATGTTAGAAATCTAAAAACAAAAATAGCAAAGAGCATCCCAGTGTTGGGGAAAACAAGGCACATTCTGAACCACTAATCATTGGATATTTAAAACTGTTCAATGGTTTGATCTCACTTAAATTGTGTTGAGTGTTTAAACAAGAGAGAAAGGTGTGAAAATGTTCGTGCCTGAGTATAAATTGTATAAAGTGTCTAGTGAGGGGTTTTACAGCCTCAAAACATCTATAAGAATTGTAAAAAATAAAGTTGGCTACTTCATGGATTTCACTTATCACGGGTTATTTTTAGAACGTAACTCCCACGATAAACGAAGAACCATTGTACGTCCATCTAAGACATACCTAAGATAGTATATATATAGAGTCCCGATCAAAAGTTTAAGAGTACTTGAAAAATAAAAATAAAAAAATCATATTTTGCATAGTTGGATCTTAACAAGGTTTGAGCTTCAATATGCAACAAGAAGAAATGGGAGTGAGACAAAACATTAGTTTGAGCATGCAATTTACTGAAAACAACACTTAAACTGAAACCAGTTGTTTTACAGCTGATCAACTGTTTTACAGCCTTTAAAAAGCCAAATCTGTGCAAAAACATGGATTCATTGTCATTTTCTGTCAGGTAGTCACATTGTCATGACATTCTGATGGCAAAGGCAAAAGAACATTCCCTTTTTGAACGTGGTTGGGTTGTTGAACTGAATAAGCAGGGTCTCTCGCAGTGCACCATTGCTGCTAAGGTGGGATGCAAGTGAGAGTGAGACAGTCATTTGGAATTTCTTAAATAATCCTGCAGGTTATGGAACAAAAAAGGCAAGTGGAAGACCTGAAGAAATTTCACCAGCACTGAGTCTAAGGATCCAACTGGCTGTCCGTCAAGACTAGGGATGGGTATCGAAAACCGGTTCTTGTTGAGAACCGGTTCCCACTGTTTCAATTCCTTGGAATTGTTTGCATTTTTGCAAACGATTCCCTTATCGATTCCAGTCGCCCCGAATGAGTCACCACGTTGCGGAGCGTCATTTACCTGGCAGGAAACACGGCGCTAGGCGGCTCAAACGCTCAAAAGTTTGGTTATACTTTATGAGAACCGGATGACAACAGGGCAACTTGCAAAGTAGATATTTCATTTAAGGGAGGAAACACTACGAATATGCAAAAGCATTTGCTCACAAAACACGCGATGACACGCGTTTTTAATTCCGCTCCGGACTCGTGACTCTCAACCCAGCAGCAGCGCTAACGTTTGCACGTCCTCTCCCGTTAATGCGGCAGGTAAATAATCAACTAACAGTGCATATTATGTTAGCGCAATCTGCCTTATTACAAGACCTGCCATTACTGTACATGTAGGTGACCATGATGAGAGAGACAGACAGAGTCTGGCTGGCGCTCGCTGGCAGTTCTCGCTGCAGTCTACCGGTAGCGTCTCCTTTCAGGCCAGGATAGACGAATGTCACCGAGCAGTGTCTAAGTTTGTGGTCAAAGGCTTGCACCCATTTGCCACAGCAGATGCCCCCGATTTTTGGTAAGTGAATGTGTTTAATTGTAGGCAGGGACATTACTGGATATTCTTGTGTAATTGCCACAGAACAATTTATGTTATACTTTGTTATTGCTACAGAAGAATGTTGCAGCTTTAAGGCAGGGATGACTCCTGGAGTTGCTTTCTCACTGCATATGCTTTATTTCACAATCAGATCGATTCGATAACAAAAACATACAGCAGCTCCTCTCCTACTCCTAGCCCTTCGCTGCGGTGGAAAAAAGAACGACTTCAATCCCCTTCAAGGAACATACGTACAAAATAGTTTTCCTGATACACCAATGGGGCGTTCAATGCCATCTTGTAAATATGAGTACTCTGGCAGAGTAACAGTTCAAATGAAAAATACACCAGAACAAACAAGCAAACAAAAAAAGAAGTGTGGGGTACCTTTGAACCAATGAACAAAGTATAACAATTTATACTTTTTAACATAACCCGACCCCGTCAATATGTGATATGTCTCACAAGAATATTTATTTTATTATTTTACATTTACAATTTTTTTTCCTGGGGACCCTGTGACACCCCATTGAAGAGCCGTAGGCTGGATCTCTTAAGATCTCACTGTTGGGTTTGTAAGGCCATGTTACTCCTAAATTTCTATCTTGTTCAAAGAGAAGATATAAAACAAAGTTCTAAGCTAATCGACCTTAGTGTTCTCCTTTTTTAAAAAAAAAAAAAGAATCGATAAAGAATCGAATCGTTAAACAGAATCGAAAATGGAATCGGAATCGTTAAAATCTTATCAATACCCATCCCTAGTCAAGACACTGAACGATCTTCAACACAAATTAAGACCATTAGTGGTGCCGAATGCAGCCCCACAACCATCAGAGACTGAAGGGCTTCAAAAACAAAAACCGTCTTCAAAGGCCTCGTCTTCTTGAACGCCACAGAACTGACTGTTTGGTCTTTGCAAGAAAGCACCAAACATGGGACACTGAGAGGTGGAAGAAAGTTTTATTTCCCAATGAGAAAAAATGTAACCTTGATGGTCCTGATGGTTTCCAGTGTTACTGGGATGACAAGTAGATCCCACCTGAGATGTTTTCTATGTGCCACAGTGGAGGGGATGCCATAATGGTCTGGGGTGCTTTTTCTTTCAGTGGAACAATGGAGCTTGACGAGGGGGTTGCAGGAGGTCATAGCCGCTGGCTATGTCCAGATGTTGCAGAGAGAATGCCTCATGACTCAGGGCCCCCGTCTGTGTGGTAATGACTGGGTTTTTCAACAGATCAACGCTATATTACACAATGCCTGCAGGAGAAGGGACTTCTTCCAGGAGAATAAGATTACTCTTTTGGACTATACTGTGTGTTCCCCTGATCTAAATCCAACTGAGAACCTTTGGGGATGGATGACAAGGGAAGTTTAAAAAAAATGGACAACAGTTCCAGACAGTAGATGCCCTTTGTGCGGCAATCTTCACCACTTGGAGAAATGTTCCCACTTACTTCATGGAAATACTTGCATCAAGCATGCCACAACAAAGTTTTTAAGGGATCAATAATAACGGTGGAGCTACTCATTACTAAGTTCATGTTTGGAACTTTGATTTCTGCTTTGGGGGGTTTACAGGGGGTTTTTTGAGGGTGTGGTCCTAAAATTTGAAAAGCCCGTTTCAGTTCAAGTGTTGTTTTCAATAAAGTGCATGCTCAAAAAAATGTTTTTTGTCTCACTCCCATTTCTTCTTGTTGCATGTTGAAGTTCTACTTGGAACCTTGTTAAGATCCAACCATTCAAAACATAATTTCTTGCTATTTTTCAATCGGGACTGTATGTGTATGTTAAAAAGTATATTCAGAACACATATATATACATACACACACACACACACACATATGTGTATACACACACACACACACACACACACACACACACACACACACACACACACACCTATATATATATATATGTGTGTGTGTGTGTGTGTGTGTGTGTGTGTGTATCCATCCCTACTGACTCCCTATTGACAATGACAATTGTGATTTTTTTTATTTTTTTGCTTACCATCATTAAATTAGTATGGCCAGAGTATTTTATGACTTAACTGCCTATGCACATATAACGTAAATTTCATGATCACTACATGAATGCACAAAACAACCATCTTTTTTGTTATTCTGCATTTATAAATGAAGTGTCAAATGTGTATGAATTGATCCCATATGTAATACATCTAACACAAGAAGATTATTATCAAATAGCCAATAACAGAACACATGTTAATAATACAAAACACAGCAGCACATGACTAAGTTGCAAAAGTCAGTGTCCTCTGACATTTGCCCTCTCTTACAATTACAATTACACAGGCAAGGGTGAAATCATTTGTCATTTCTGAAGCATAAGTACTTTTGGCAGATTTCCAAAGCCAAATATTATCAAGAGTAAGTAAACAAATGAAACAAGATTTATAGTGTTTATAAGATGAAATGTTCTTAGCCTGTGGGCAAAATAAGCGCACACACATTATTGCTGTCAGATTAGGTAAAAAGCAGCAGGAATACTTCATCTTGATTATTCAAAATCATTAAGGTCCTGCAGTCTGCATAATATCCACCTGCTACTTCGTCCCCATTTATTTCTATGAGAAACACATTTACCTCGAGGTGAAATGACCAGAGCGTAACACAAAAACAGGAGGAATTCCTTTTGAACAAAGGAATAGAGTCTGATCCAGAAGACAGAAAAGTGACAAGTTTCCAATGCATTTCCACCAAAGACACAACGATTAAAGACTTAGAGAAAATGTTGATGCTCTGTTTAACAACTGCCAGCTGTTCAGTTTCCCACGAGAATTAAAAAAAAACAGACAAAACATTTTCCATACAGGAAGAGACGTGGTCCTCCTATACCTTCCAACCCAATGCTCAGAAGTGGGTGCAAAGAGTTGTAAGGCTATTAACGAGATGAATAAACTTTTACAGTTGTTTTATGCAGAAAAAGTAAAGCCAGGAGATGTGAGTTATGCTCTGCCTACAAACTATTGCTCATTTTATTTTTTTAAACTGACTTTTCCATTTATCTCTCTTCATGTACATTTTTTTTTTTTTACCTAAGGATGTAATTAGGGAATTAAGGGTTATTCTGCCCTGACTAGGGTGTAAAGCTGGTTTCTAGACTGGCAGATAGCATAACAGGTCCACAATAAACATCCAGGAGTCAGCAGGTACATTTTAGATGGTTACTGTAAGCACTGTAAAACTGTAATACAGAAATGAAAAACAAAATATTACATTTCTGCTATAAATGACTTGCCTTTACAGTACTAAACACTAAGCCATTCACTATCATGTACATCACACGTAAACACATCAACATATCCTGAAACCTTGGTTATTTGCCCTAGGTATTTAATGGTTAGCTCAATGTTAGCATTATATTGGCCCAGGTATACAGCAAAGAGAAGGCCTCCTTTCTCCCGCACTCCAGCTGTACAGCTGTAGGATTGATCTGATCCCTGGTGTTCCCTTGCCCACTAGGCGGCTTTACAACATTTCTAAGCCTGAGCAAGAATCCATGGAACATTACATCACTGATTCATTGGCAACTGGTATAACTGGACCCTCCACGTTGCCCTTG